TGAATCTTATAATTAAAAAAAATATGTAAATTTTTCTAACTCATCTTATCGATTTTTCATATCATTTGTACATTTTAACTAAATAATAAAAATATATTTTTTAGAAAAAAAAAAAGGCAAAGGTGAATAAAACTTTATCTTGAATAATAAAGTTTCTTTGTTGAATTTGATCAATTAATTGTTGTCGTTCGAATTCAATTTATTTTATATCATCTTCAAAATGATTTAATTCTTGTTCAAGTTGTTCGATCTAAATTAAATTAAGTTAAAAAAATTAACTTTTATATTAAGTATAATTTTTGCTCATTTTCTAATTGTTCGATTTTATTTAAATTGTTAATATATTCTTCATTTAAAAGATTTAATTCAATATTTGCATCTTCGTCAAACAAATATTTAAGATCTTCAAAATATTCAATACGTTCATTTTTCTATTAAATGAAAGAATTTCTTTTGTTTTTCTTTTTTCATTAAAACATATACAAAAAAAAAATTCTAATATTCTTTTTATGATAAATGAATTAATTCAATATATCTTTGATCGTTAATTAATTCAATTTGTTTATATTCATTTGAATATAAATATTTCATATTAAATAAAATAAATTTATCTTGATTTTCTTTAATTTTGATTAAATCATATTTTTTTTTGTTCGTATTCACTTTTAAAATGGAATTTATTTTCGCATAATTCTTTTATTTTCATGTTCATGTGCTATTCCAATTTCATCTTTTATTAATTGCTCCACATTCAAATAGAAATTTTTGCTTCATAATTGTAGAAAATTTCCAACGAAAAACTAAAATGTTATCAGATTGAATCATTAAATTCTTCGATTCATTTCTCCACCTTAGACAAATTAAAATTATTTAACTTATGTAGAAATTGAAGTCAATTAACCTTGATAAAATAAAAACTACGGTAAAAAATTATTAACTAGTTAATCAAATTAACGAGGATTTGAAGATTTAAATCAGGATGAAGTATTTACTAAACTAATAATTATTTTAAGAAGATTAAACAATTTATTGACAGTCTTTTATGAAGTAATCGATTTTTATTTTATGAATGTGCTCAAATATGTTTTTAATACTTTTATGTTAGTTGGTAGATTTTTTTTCAATATTGAATATCTGATGATCATTTTATAATCATCATACATTAATATTTAATCATAATTAAAACTATTTTTATTCTTTTTTTGTCTTCTATATATATATATATATATGTATGTGTATATAAATAAAGTTATCTTATAGAATTCGTTAAATGGCCGAAAAGTTTTTCACGTTTTGTTTTTTGTTTAGACTTTTGTATTCATTTCTATAAATGTGAAATAAGATTACTTGTGTTTTTAGAATATTTTCATCAGCAAGTATTTTATCATGATAAATAGCTTTGAATTCTTTATTTGATTGAGATGAATTTAAGTCATATAATATTATATTTCCATTTTCTCCTGTTGAAATAATCAAATTATTACTAACCGATATTAAAATCTAAATGGATAAAATTAATTCGAATTTATTTAATTTATCTTATCATCATTTTGATGAGCATTGATTTCATGAAATATTAGAATAATTGTCTGTATGAGTGAGATAAATCAATTTATGATTCGAATAAATTAAAATCAACATATTAATTTAACTAATAACTGTAAAAAATGAGTTTATTAAACAAACAGCATTCGATTAAGAACAAGTTTCCCATTGAAAAAAAAAGTCTGACTCATTCCAATTAAAGAACTAAGTAGAAACACGAGCAAAGCAATTGTCAAAGAAATATTTATTTATTGTTTGTTTGAATAAAATCGATCGATTATTATAAAAGAAAAAATTAAACATTTAATTAATATTCTGTGATAAAGAACGTCTATTTGAACATCGAAATAATTAAGAAAATATTTTTATTTTTAATCATGAATGTAAATTTATTTTTAAAATAAATATTTAATTCTAAAGATATTATTTACTAGTAGAAATAGTTTTTCTTACTATTATAAAAGATGAAACTTTTTTATTTTATTTAAAGAATATATTTTCTAGGGTTAATTAGAAGAATTTTGAAAGAAATAGTTCTATTTAAATAAAAAATCTTGTTGTGTATGTTTTATAGATAAAATTAAAATAAATAAAAGTAACATACTTTAGTAATAATTTCTTGATGAACATTCATATAGGATAGATCGTTAGTATAATTCTTATCATTAATTAAATGAATTGATCCATTTTCTGATACAATAAATAATATTTTTTTTTATCATTAGTTAATATATAAGCTAATTTATTATTTGAACATATTAATATATCATCTATAGTAAAACCAGTTATTTGATACTATTTATTTTAAAAATAAAAATAAATCTTTATTAAATATATGATATATAATATGAAAACTTGTGATAAACATTAACATTTATATGGATTCCATTGTATAATAAGTTCATCAAAATCAACACTTATTATTAATGAATCATCATAAGACAAACGAATTATTCGAAACTATCATTTATTTACAAAACAAAACAAAATAAAAAAATAAAAATATTTATTAGAAAAATAAAAAGAAAACTAATCTTACTTTGTCATTAGTACGTATATATGTAAATTTATTATAATCATTATGATGATGAAATTCAATAGTATAATCATATGATATCGATAATAAATATCCTTAATTACTATATTCAATCTTTATAGAAATAAAATTAATTTATATTTAAAATGAAAAAAAAAAGTCTATCTACAAACAGATTGACAATTTTAAATTTCAAATTGTTTAAATAAAGTAAAACCATCAATAGTATACGTATATATTTGAATCATTGTCCAGAATGAAACATGAACAAATTTTCATATTGGACGTACACTTAATGATAAAGGTTCGATATGAAATTGATGATTTAATTCTTGATTATTAAACAAATTAAAAGCATATTAACTATTTGTTTTATTTTTGTTTCATTCAAATAAAATTGATTTTGTCTGTAAAGGGTATGGGTTTGGTCTTCTTCTATCATCGACACCCATATCCACACCCAAAATGAGATGACATAAAAAAAAATACCAAAAAAGAGTTATATTTTGAAAATACTCGTCATTCTGTCAAGCAGATTTATTTCATTTTTAAATATAATATTAATTGTTTAGTCAAAGTAATATATATCAATTTGTAAAGTATTTCATGACATATCTCTAGAAAAAAAAACAACTCAATATTACAAAATTTATCTATATTTGAAATATGTACAAAATAATTAATGTTAATTTCATTTTTTCTTCCTTGTAAAATACTGGAACATTGCACCATATTAGAATGTTTCAGTTTTAGCCTTATAAGAAAGTTATTATTGCCATTCTTGTTGAGAATTTCACGGCACATCTTTTTAAAACAAAATTTACCGTTATAAGATTTATTAAAGATGAGATATATACAAAATACTCGATGTTGCAATCATTTTCGTTCACCCGGTAGATCATATAAGTAACTTAGAAGTCAAAAAAGTGCTTTCACTTAAACGATTATTTCACTGTTGTAGACAGAATGCATTTAGAGCAAAAAAAACATTAATTAACAGATGAAAACAGCTATCAAAACAGGTAGATTGAAAAGTTATGACAATAAAAACAACTTTTTTCTTTCATTTGCTAAAAAGAAATGATTCTAAATGTTGAGATAAATAGAAATGTACTTTTTCTGTTGAAAAGTGATAGATGAATCTTTCAAAAACATTTCTCCAATAGATAAATAGACAGTTGAGTGATTCAAGAAATATTCAGCCCTAGAGAAAGTACTGAGTTCAGGGTACCCATATACTGGAAAAGCCTTAGCAGGGTACCTAATATGGGTACTTCAAAAATTCTCAGTAATGATACTCATGCACTAGGTATTGCATGGGGTACCCATGAAAGTAAGCTCACTAAACAAGTACTTGTATGAGTACCCGCATCTGTATTTTTACTGAGGAAAACTCTACAGGGTATCCTATATTTGTTGCGTTCTGTATAGCGACTGTTCATTCATCGTTTTCGTTTTCACGCACGTCCCCATATAAACAACTGGGCAAAACATAACAAATTAATCTATTTTCATACCAATTTTTTCTAGAGTATTTCTTGACTGTTTCTTAGTCGAGAGCAAGTCAACCTTGATCGTCGATGACGAGCGGACAATTCTGATGTGGTCTGGTGAATACCCGACTAACTCAAGTCAGGTCAGATATCAGCATTTGACCTGCTGAGTTTTCGGAATTGAAAAAATTAAATACAATAAAGTCGAAAAAAATGTAATAAAATGCTTCCAGAGAAACAAAAATGAAAAAAGTCAAAGGTTAGGTTCGATCCTGAACATACTGAAATTTTGCCAACAGGGTACCTAGCAATACTGTACAATAGTACCTGATTGAGTATCCGATCAGTATCTTCAAGTATCCAGTTACTACACATTTTGTAGCAGGATACCTGCCAAAGTACCCACAAGTGCTTTAGTACCCAAAAGTTCCGGTGACATACTGGTAACAGGGAACTTTTTCGGGTATCCTTAACTCAGTACATTCTTTAGGGAGAGATTCTTCTTATACTAAAGAATGTTTCAAAGGTTTTGGCCCCTTTCTGTAATTTGACGTTGTCTATATCAAATATATTTGTAGATGATTGATTGAAATATATAGTTTTGTAGAGAATAAGTTTAGCTATCATCTGAATAAAAAATTTTTGAAATTGTGTCTTATTTATGAAACATTATAATAATTTTATTCATAATGACTAAGCATTTAACACATTACATTTCTCGACAAAACAAAGTATGCTTGTAACGACTGAAGTGAAATATTGTATCTCTTGTCAATACAAAGTTTCAAGGAAATTAGACAGACTAATAAAAATTTCATATATGTTGCATTATAGAGAATATACTAAACTTTCAATAACTTTAGCTGATTTATTATTTCGTCTGTTCATGAAGCTCAGAAAACTTATTTACAGCTTCAGTATATGATGCTACAACTCGAAACTTAAATCAATAGTCAATCAGCTAGAGTTATTGAAAGTCAAGCATACTCTCTAATGCAAGATATATCAGATTTTTATTAGTCTTTCTAGTTTCTTTCAAGTTTTCTATTGAAAAGAGGATCAGAATTTTTCTGTTATATTCATATTCTTGTGGAGCTCGTCAAATTCTATCGAATCATATAAAAATATCTAGAAAACGATATTTCACTTCAGAAATTACAAGTATACTTTGTTTTGGCAGAAAATGTAATGTGTTAAATGCTTAGTCATCATTAATAAAATTATCGTAACGTTTCATAAATACGATACAATTTCAAAAATTTTCTATTCAGATGATAGCTCATCTTATTCTCTACAAAGCTATATATTTCAATCAATCATATATAAATATAATTGATATAGATAACGTTAAATTACAGAACGGAGTCAAAACTTTACTTTTCCGAAATCAAATAGAATTTTTATCTTGAATTTTTGTTTAGATATAAATAAATTTAATTTACAATAACTAATCTATTTTAACTAATAATTTTTATCTTATTTATTTATCTATATATATACAAAGTAGAAAACTAACGATGAAATGATGATCAAATATATCTAGTTGACAATTATTTCTAAAAGAAAAACAAAACTGGGGTGTGGGTGTGAGTATGGGTTTGGGTTTGGGTGGGAGTACAGA